GCACAGCATGCACCCAATGCAACCTTCCAATTCCATGCTCATCGACAAAATAGTACGATTTGCACATCTATTACATCAACTCACTCACTTATAACATAACCGTTTCAAGTGCATTTGTTTCGGCGTCATGCAGGGATCATGAGGCAAGATAACTGCGAGCAGGTGATATTAGAGCCGAGGAAAATCGCCCGGCATTACCTGAAGACCTGGTTCTTCCTCGATCTCATCTCCTCCATTCCCCTAGATTACATCTTCCTCATCGTTAATCAGGTTAACCCGTTAATCCTCATCTCCCAGCACCATCCCGGGCTCACCTGAAACAAAAAACCTTTTTTTTTCACGCAGGGGGTAAGTGCAGCAAGGCGAATTGGACGCACCAGATTGCACACCAGATTGCACACCAAATTGCACATCGAATTGCACATCGAATTGCAACCGAATTGCATGCAAATTGAATTTTTGGGATTCTTTTTTGATAGGATTTCGACGAGAATTTCCAGATCCTTCACGCCGGGCGGGCGCTTCGGATCCTACGACTGTGCAAGCTCCTCAGCCTCGTCCGGCTCCTGCGCCTCTCGAGGCTGGTGCGATACGTCAGCCAGTGGGAGGAAGTCTACGTATGTGCCAATTTTTTTTTTGCACAATTTTGCCAATTTTGTTTGATTTTCTGATGTGGTGAGAGCACTTGGGACCGATGCACCGACCGGAAAAAAATTACGTGCACTAATTGTTCGCTCTGGTCATCGTTAATCGGGTTAGTCCGTTAATCGGGTTAATCCGGTAATCTCACGGCACCCTTCGGGCTCATTCTTTCGTTGTTTAGCATGCAAATGTTCAGCATGTTAGCATTGAAATCGAATTTTGTTTCCCCTTCTTTGTGCGTTGGATTGATCAGCTCGAGAAGAGCTTGCGAAAGCGATTGACGAATCGACGTGCCCGTCGAGGATCGGTGGAATACTTGCCACGGAAGACTGTTTTTGACAAGGTAGAGGCTAATACACATCTCATACACATCTCATAGCTTTTTTCTTCCTCCCGGAATGACCTGACGGTTTGAATCGGCATTTGGAATCGGCATTTGAGGACATTTAGTGGTGCATGCAGAAGCGACTCTGCATGCGGTCGTAGAGGCTTTTGGGGGTCGTGCTGGGGTCGACCCGTCGCATGACGACCCGTCGCATGCCGACGTGTTTTTTTCTTCAGACTCCATTTGTCGAAATATGGATATGTTATCATAATTTATTTTCTATATTGGAGTATCGGTGTATAAACTTACGGTTTATAATAAACCTGATTTCGTGCTTTTTCCTTTTGAAGATTTTAAATAAAATTTACGGTACTCTCTTAATTATTTATTTATCATTATTTTCAATTGCACATTTATATTCTTTTCGTACTCGCAGTGAATTCACGACCGTGGCCAATCGCCAATACGTGCCAATTTATGCCAATTTCGCTATCTTTATTCTTACCGGGGCGCTTCCAGTTCCTGAACATGGCGAGCGTGTTCATGCGGATCTTCAACCTGATCAGCATGATGTTGCTCATCGGGCATTGGTCCGGTTGCCTGCAGTTCCTCGTTCCGATGCTCCAGGGCTTCCCCGCGAACTCCTGGGTCGCCATCAACGAACTCCAGGTCGACACGTATAATAAAATTGCGAAAGGGGAAATTGGCCTGTCCTTTTCTCTTTGTCTCTCGGGGATGGCCCACAACGGCCCACAATAGCCGACAATAGTCCACAATAACTCCCTTTATTCTCCAGCATGCTCAGTGGATGGAGCAGTATTCCTGGGCCCTGTTCAAGGCCATGTCCCACATGCTCTGCATCGGGTACGGCCGGTTCCCGCCGCAGAATCTGACCGACATGTGGCTGACCATGCTGAGCATGATCAGCGGGGCCACCTGCTACGCCCTCTTCTTGGGGCATGCCACCAATCTCATCCAGAGCCTCGACTCCTCTCGCAGACAATATCGGGAACGGGTACGTCGACTGGACTTTAATTAATTGAAGTTCATTTAAATGTATTAATTGAAGTTAATTTAAATGTATTAATTGAAGTTAATTTAAATTTGCATTTAAAGAATTTATTGAAAATTGATTTAAATTTATATCTAAAAATATAGCAAACAATCATTTAAACAAAAATAAAATCCTGCAGATTTTTGGCACGAACATGAACGTGTGAAATTCGCTCTTCGGAATACAGGTAAAACAGGTGGAAGAATACATGGCGTACCGGAAGCTTCCGGGAGACCTCCGCCAGAAGATCACGGACTTCTACGAGCACCGATATCAAGGGAAGTTCTTCAACGAGAAGGAGATACTCAACGAACTCAACGAACGTTTGCGCGAGGTATGAGTGTTGGATTTTGGGGGAAGTTAAGTTCCGGTTGCCTTATTTAATTTTGTAATTTAAAAAAAAATAGCTATCAGGCACATCCGTGCAACTCTCGGATGAGCTTAATTAATGTAGCAGTTAATGATGATGATGTTCGTAAATTTGCGCGATCGATTATTGATAAACTTGTCTTGGGCTTAATGCTTTCCGAAGTTCCTAAAAACAATTGCAAAAAATTTTTTTTTCTTTAATCTGAATTTCGTCCCAAGTGTGTCAATGACCGTGTCAGAATTCCCTGAAATTTGGCATGGAGAGAAAATTTTTGGCAGAAATCTTAGGTCTCCGGAAAAAAAACGCATAAAGGACCTTTGGCATTTCGCCATGGGGTAAGAAAAATGTCTCCGACTTCCTAGTTTTTGCCAGCAAAAATTTGGCCAACGTTTAAATTATACCGTCAAAAATGACAAAAAAGAAAAGCCGAGAATTGTGACATCTGTCACGAAATGTAACAAAATGTCACGAAATGAATGAGCGCTTCTTTTAACTCGGAGTGCGAAGCAATTTTGAATTGCCACGATTCCCCCCCGCAATTTCAAGTTGGAAATAGGTGAAATTGCCCTGAAATTGCCTTTCAAGGGCAATCCAGCGGATTAAGAATGAAACATGATCAATTCGACCGATATCGTCAATGAGATTTCCTAGTTGATCGAAGATTGATGTGCCGTGCCAAAATCTGGCAAAATCTCAGGGTTGCATGCGAAATGGGGCCCTGAGATTGGGGAACCGGGGCGGGGCGGGGCGGGGCGGGGCATAAGTCCCGGAAAATTGCTTTATGGCTCATATTGAAGCAGGAGAAATTAAGCAAGACTGTGTCAATATTTAATTAATATTCTCCAATATTGAATTTATGGTAATATACTCATTAATGAAACTTCATTATAATTTTAAATACAGATCTTAATTACAATTTTTAGCACGTCCTGATTCCCCTCTCCTTCAGCTTTAATTTGAAGCGTGAAAATTAGCAATACATTTGAATTTGCCAACTTCAAACATTTATCTGATTTGGAGGTCAATTTGAGCGGTTGGAAAGTCTTTGAAAACTTTTCGAAGGTGCAAAGGTCTTTGGTATGTTTACCGGATGGTAAAAGGACCTGAATTAAGCATTTTGCATGTCGGTTAAGCAATTGCTTAATTACAAAATTGACTCGGAGATTAGGATCCCCAAGCATTTTTAAGCAACCGCAAGCAATTTTTTCATGTTGAATAAATTGTAACTAATTTAGTATGCTAATCCCTTGTTTCAACTAGGGAAGAAAGATTCGGCACAAAACCGCACTATTTTGGCACAACTGCAGTCCAACCGTGAAAACCGTCTCCCGGCTGAAATCGCAGAAACCGAGGGAAAATCAAAACAAACATGCATGACAAGTTTGAGACTCGCATTCATTATCGGGACGAAAATGAAGGCAATTTCCTTTCTCAAATGAAAGTAATTTCCTTCCTCAAATGAAGGCAATTTCCCCGTTTTCTCTTCCTGGATGGTTTCTTGCACCCATTGTATGCCGCAAACGGTCGACCAATTCGCGCCAATTCGCACCAATTCGCGCCGATTCCCACCCACTGCGTGGACGGAGCTTTTTTTTTATTTGCGGAAATTCAGAAAATAGAAATAATAATATCTATATTATTATATCTATTTTCTTTTGTACCTGCAGGTACCTAAAGGAATTGAGACATTCGACCTGCATCGATAACTTATGTTACAGTTAATCTAAAAACCATATTTTAAAATTTGCCTCGAAATTTCCTGGAAGTCTTCATTCTAACCCTCTCCATTCATTCCTTTCAAGTCCATGCACTTTTTTTTCTTTACCAGCCAAGTTCGAATTTGAATTTCAGCTCGAAGTTGCTGCAAATTTTCGAGAATTTTCATCGCTCTTCCTCGCCTCCCTCCCTAAAATGATGAAATCGATCAAATCTGCATCTACATATACATTTACATCCATCTCGTCTCGACGGCCTCATTTCGATGCGGCTCCATTTCTAATTGCCCCGCTATTTCCCCCTTTCCATTCAAATCAGGGCAATTTCCGATTGCATCATTTCCATAGCGCGAGTGAAACAAGGCGATTTTCATTCGCATTTTTGAGTAATTAGATTTTCAGGAATCAAATAATTCGAATTAATTCAATCACCCAGAGTTTCGTGCCGTACAACGAGAAATTAAAGAATGAATCTTTTCCACAAATTTGAGATTGGGTGGAAAACCATTCATTTTATTATTTATTATTTAGAAAACCATTATCGCGACGGAACAGTACCGATACATAAAAATATACGTATATATTTAATCATAATTTTAAACGTTAATGAGCGAAATGCAAATTGAAGATTGAACCATGGCCACTCATAAAGACGAATCCAAAAAGGAAAAGGATCCTAAAGGATCTGCAGAAATTATTTAAATTACTTTTCCCGCCAGGATGTGATAAATCACAACTGCCGGTCGCTGGTGAAGTCGGTGCCGTTCTTCGCCCACGCCGACCCTCAGTTCGTCACCGACGTGGTCACCAAGCTCCAATACGAAGTCTTCCAGCCGGGCGACATCATCATCAAGGAAGGCACGATCGGCACGAAGATGTACTTCATCCAGGAAGGCATCGTGGACATCGTGATGTCCTCGGGCGAGGTCGCCACCAGCCTCTCGGACGGCTCCTACTTCGGCGAGATCTGCCTCCTCACGAACGCCAAGCGCGTCGCCAGCGTCCGCGCCGAGACCTACTGCAATCTCTTCTCCCTGTCCGTTGAGCATTTCAACGCGGTGCTCGATGAGTATCCCGTGATGAGGAAGACGCTCGAGACCGTCGCTGCCGAAAGGTACATCCGCTCGTTTTTATCCACTTATTTTATTTTTAAACCTAAAAGAATCCTCCAGTAAAAAAAATATCAGCAGGAAGTACAGGGTGACCCAAAAGAAATGCCACAAATATTAACAATGATATTTTCCCTTCTACTAATCCGACTGAAACAAAACTTTTCAAAAACATCTAGTAGAACATAAACTTTGTCAACAATTTCCAACGGATCCTCATGATGCTTTGATGCAAGACTTTAAGAGTTTCAAAATTTTTTCCATATTGTTTTGGAGCGTATTGTCGTCTATTTCAACCCAGGCAGTTTTTTTTTAGGATCTCTTGAGAGATCCCACATTTTTGTGTAGTTTAGTAAAGGCCCATGTCTCGAGATTCGGTGAATAAGGTGGCAATTCCAATCCTGGCAGCTTCATTATTAACAAAATGCCCGTTTTCTTAATTAATAAATAAATAATTAATAATCTGTATAGGAACGTGCTCGCATACTTAATTTTGCATTGCAGTACTCAAAGTACCTGAATTATTGCGCACTTCATAGCAATGGAAGTTCGTCACGGGCTCATAATGATTCAAGATACATTTCAATAGTAAACCGTTGACGTCGCCGCGGAGACAGTGCATGCTCCAGCATCTCAGCAGTAATTTCGGGTTCGGTTTATTAGTAAGCGTCGACGACAATTAGATGTATTTGCAGGTACTCGGAATGAAATCTTAGGCTTGTTGGCCTGGTGGCAAAAGTCGTTTAGTGAAAGGCATCGCGCACGAGAAAAGGTGGTGGTTTTCTCACGTTTCCATATTCGTGCCGTGCCGTGGCGGGATGCAGAGGAACGAAAACAAAAGAAATGCATTTATTTGGGAACAGTCACGCGTTTCCCGACTTCCGTAAGGATTCTCCGACTTGCATGAAACGGAAAGGAAACGCTAGCACGCTCCAATACCGAGCTTGCTTTTCCTAACGACCCCTTGGGACTCGGCATTTTATTCGATCGAAGAATTTGATGTTGGCAGGGGTGTGGGGCACTCCATACAAATTATTTGTAAATGAAGTAATGCGAAAAAAAATTTTCAATGGCTTTCCCTTTCTTCAACTCTCTACGGGACTCACTAACGTTAGGCCTTGGCCTTACCAACAGACTGCCTTCAGGTCACGCCAAGGCCGACCTTTTTCTTTTCACGAGAAACTCAATTCTCGACTTACGGTGCCAATCAGGCCCACAAGGGTGACTCGTGGTCTCGGAGACATCCGGTTGAGGACGGGTAACGTTAGGCCGATCGCAGGCCTATTCATACGTTCACGAACCATTTCAGAGAGGTCGCGTAACGTTAGACGGATTGGTTGCCTGTTTCCCGTTTCACGAACCATTTCAATGGGGCGTGGAACGTTAAGAGTATATGGAGTTCCTCGAACCATCTCGAATACGTCTGAGAGGAGAAAGCCTTCCAAATAACCATTAACCACCAAATAACCATTCTCAGCACAACTAATGAACTCAGCACAAAAAGTCTCATACATTAAAAAACAGAAGATCCAGACGCCAAAACGAAGGTTGAAACAGTCTTGAATCTGGGATAATTTCGGCACGGTATCTGGCTACACTGGGGGACGGAACAGGAGCAAGTACTCTTCAGCCTAATTGAACGACAGCTATTTTCATTATGGCGAAGTGGAGGATAGCAAACAACAAAAGAGCCACTTTTCGTCACCTACAAGTCAAAGTCAATATCTTTGCTATGGTTGGTCTCTTTCCTCAGAAAACACCACAAGAGCGGGGGGAGGGGGTTTCATTTCATATCCCGCTACCAAGGGGGGGGGATACGAAATGATATTCACATATTTCAAAAACTATATTCACTGTTCCCCTCAATCCCGGGGAAACGGAGCTACCAAAGCCTACCTCAACTCGTAGGCCGAGATGAGCAGAGGCCGAGCATCCTCCCTCGAACAATTCTCAACGAGTCAGTGGAGAAATGGAAGGCCATAAGGAACCTGAAGACAAATTTCCTTTCCTTTATTCGACGCGGAAAGAACGCCTTCATCCAGTATTGCCTCCCTTCTCTGGCCGGTCTGACATCCACATGAAAGAGTGTTCACCTTAACCCCGGGGAAACGGAGGTTCCAATTTGCTGGTGCGATTTTGTGGTGAGAGAGGAAGAGATATGCCTTATTTCGTTCCTGTGGATTCTCTCAGAGAGGAATACAAGGAGGTTGAATTTTTCTGCGGGAAGGGGCTGAAGAAAGGTAATAGTCGCTACTAAGGCCTATTGATGAAATACAATTTGAAGGAGCCTCATAGCCGTATTTTAAATGCGTGCATTGCAATCAAGGAGTAGTTTCAAATTCCTCATTGCATGCTTCTGACTTCAATGACGACCAAAACGACACGGAATCGAACTGGTAGGAAAAAAAAAAAGGAATAAATATCTCTCTCTCTCTGTCCGTCCTTCCCAGGCTGAACAAGATCGGGAAGAACCCCTCGATGGTGTCGACCCGCGACGACCTGGACACGAAGGCCGTCTCCGCCATCGTGACCGCCCTCTCGGGCAACTCCGGCAGCGACGAGTCCCTCTTCACCAACACGAGCGGCGACCACCCCCACCACCGCCACTTCCTCGGCCTGTCCGAGATGGCCGCCAAGGTCCTCCCCCGGCCCAAGAGCGAGAACGTCTTCCCCTTCACCGAGGGGAATCTCCTCGGCGTCCAGCAGCGGCCGTTTCACCAGTCCGAGCATTCCTTCCCCCGGTTCGCGGCCAACGCGGATCTCGAGTCCAATTAGAGCCGGAGCCGAATCCAAAACTCGTTCAAGTTTCGGTATTGTTCACGTTTCTGTTTGCGAGATTCGGTCGGGACGCGGCTGAGATGTTTCTTTTCGGTCTCGATTTCGACGTTTCGACTTCTCTCACGTTCGGTGTTCCGTTCGATCACTTTTTCCATTCAATG